ATACACGGGTGGGGGGTCCTAGCACCCAATCCCACCTACCCCGAACAAGTTCTGTCCGGTTCCAAGAAACCAGCCACAGATCCCTGGTCAATTTACCCTCTGGACCTTACCACAAATCACGCTGGGCCAATCCTTTAGAATCTATATCTAAAGGTTTATTATTACAAGAAAGAAAAGCCTGAGAGTAAGGTTATTAAAGTACAGTACGTTACATGCACCGAATCTCCCAGTTCTCGATGCAGGCTCTAGCAGAGATGTTGCAGCTGCTGGTTTAAAAGTTCTTATTGCACATCCTACGATCAGGATGGGTTCACAGGTCTTCCGGGCTTTTCAATCCCTGCAGTGCTGCCTCTGGGATGAAGTGCTGAGCTGAGAACAAAATGGCATCGACCACATGGCCTCTTTATACTCCTTCCTGGCCTCTTCTTGTATGCAGCAAGTCACCTGGTCAGAGGCCAATCTCTATGTTTCCTGCTGGCTGCCCTCAGGTGACACATCCCATTCTTTGGGTGTGTCCATAGCCTATTGAGAGTCATTGTTCCACAGGGCTTTGCTACTCAGCCTGTCCATAGCCATGCTTAACCACATTCACAGAAATATTCAGCTTCCACACAGATTACAGATTCCTACCTACACACATGGACATTATACACTCACATAAATAGTGTACATAAGATTAACAAACAACAAGCTCCCATTCAATACCCCACATGGCTCCCCCCATACCAATTTCTGGGGCCAACACCCCCACCTAGGGGTGCAGCAGCGATCTGGCTGCTTCCCTCCAATTCAGCAACGTGACAGGATATTTAAATCCCCCGCCCATTTCCCTATTCCAAAGTTCTACATTAGCATGGCTGTTCCGGAGAAGGGGCCAGTGTAGACGTAGCCGTTGTGCTGGGGTGGAGGGAGGCACTATCTGTGAAAGGAAGGGTAGACTTAAATGAAGTAAAAAATCTGAAATGAGCCAAACTAAAAATCTCTACAGCTAGTAATTGCATGTTCCAATAATCAGACTACAGCAGTAGGGATATAGCACCAGCTACTGGGCTAGGATGGTAAAGATAATGAAATGTTGAGGGAGATGAGAGAGGCCATTAAAATAAAAACGCAGTAATAATGGGGGATTGCAACTATCCCCATACTGGCTGGGTACATGTCACCACGATACAAAGTGGGGGGGGCAGGAAAAGGCATTTAATACATAGGGCTGTTACATAAATGAGTTTCTGGAGAAGCAGCGTATGTTAATTCCCCAACCAAAGGAGACCCAGAAAAGAACATTTTTGCTGACATAACAGCATCTTGGACCAGGGTTTTTCTGGCACAGCTCTACCACTTGGGCTGGGAGTGATATTTTTATAATTCTCATGAATCTGGCAATGCCAGGAGCATTTCCAGGCATAGCACAAACTCAAGCACATCGCGCTAGGATCATAATTTCCCCAGGCAAAAGCTTTGTGACGGGTTAGGCTTGTCAAGATGGATCAAGAAAATGTTCTTATGAGGAAGTTGTAGCTATAAGAAAAACAAGTAGTTTGAAAGCCAGAAAATGCAGCCGCACAAGAGGAATGCAAGCTGAAAAGTTTCAGTCTCATTAATCTCGTCTCATATGGAAGCTGTTCCTTACCGCTAATCATTTCTGTTGCACTTTTAGTACTTTTTTCACATCTAATATTTCTTTTTGTAGTGGGATGTCAAATGTGTGTATTCAGGTAAATGTGTAACTGCTGAAAAATTCATTGGTTACACATTTACGTGTGTGTGTGTGGGGGGGGTCTGCTTGCTGCCTGCTTCCCCTCCCATGCTGCCTCTGATACAGAAGCAGCAGCATGGGGCACGGGGGCCCTGTGTGTAACCATGAAGGTTAACCCATAAGCCCAGGCTCATCAGTTGCACATTTACACTATCACCTCCTTATTTTGTAGATGGGGTGACCAGACTAACAGGTAACAGGTTTAAAACAAACAGAAGGAAGTATTTCTTCATACAGCACATAGTCAACCTGTGGAACTCCTTGCCAGAGGACATTATGAAGACCAGGACTTTAACAGTATTAAAAAAAAACCCCAAAAACTAGATAAATTCATGGAGATTAGGGCCATCAAGACTTATTAGCCAGAATGGGGTAGAAATGGTGTCCCTGGCCTCTGCTTGTCAGGGGCTGGAAATGGATGTCAGGAGAGGATTTCCTGTTTCTGTCTAGTACTGGCCACTATTGGAAGATGGGATGTGGGCTAGATGGCTCTTGGTCTGACCCAGTGTGGCCGTTCCTATGTTCGTATCTGCACGTAGAATCCAAGATATCGCCTCTATCTATAGTCATGGTTTGCCTTTAAGATATTTTCTCTTATTCTCTATTCCTTGCCTAATGACTCCCAGCGGTCTCTTAGCTCTTTAGCTTGCCACTGCACACGGAGTGGGGCTGTGTCTAGACTGGCCAGTTTTTCCAGAAAATCAGCCGCTTTTCCGGAAAAACTTGCCAGCTGCCTACACTGGCCCCTTGAATTTCCGGAAAAGCACAGACTTCCTACTGTCTGAAATCAGTGCTTCTTGCGGAAATACTATGCTGCTCCCATTCGGGCAAAAGTCCCTTTTGCGCAAAACTTTTGCGCAAAAGGGCCAGTGTAGACAGCTCAGATTTGTTTTCCGCAAAAAAGCCCCGATGGCGAAAATGGCGATCGGGGCTTTTTTGCGCAAAAGCGCGTCTAGATTGGCCATGGACGCTTTTCTGCAAAAAGTGCTTTTGCGGAAAAGCGTCCGTGTCAATCTAGACGCTCTTTTCCGCAAATGCTTTTAACGGAAAACTTTTCCGTTAAAAGCATTTCCGGAAAATCCTGCCAGTCTAGACGTAGCCGGGATGTTTTCAGGGAACTATAAATAATGATTCCAAGATCTCTCTCTTGAGTGGTAGCAGCTATTTTAGATCCCATCAGTTTTGTCTGTATAGTTGGGATTGTACTTTTCCATGTGCTTTACTTTGCAGTTAGCCACCCTGAATTCCATCTGCCCTTGAGTTGCCCAGTGTTTTGAGATTTCTTTCTATCGCTTTGCAGTTAACATGAGCACTTAGCTTTGGACTTAACTATTTTGAGTAATTTTGTATCATCTACAAACTTTACCACGTCCCTGTTTAGCCCTTTTTCAAGAACATTTATGAGAAGCTGAACAGCAGAGCTGCAATGCAGAGCCCTGAATTTAGTCCTGCTCTTTTTCCCTATCTTTTAAGTGGAGCACTAATGACCTTTCACTACTTGAATGACAGCTTTTTGTTATCTCCCCCGCCCCACTTTAGAAACACCCTGCCTGCCCCAACAGCAAAGCGAGGCCAGTTAAGAGCTGCCTCTGGAGCTAGCCTTAAGCAGACCTCAAGTATGAAATTCAAGGGGTCACACTTGAAGGGGGCTCTTGACCCCTGTAGCCCCCCCAAATGGTGCCCTTGGGAGAACACTCGGGCCCCAGCAGAGAGGTCCGTGGGAGCGCAAGGGGTCAAGAGACGGCAGGTGGGCATTACCCGGCCGTATCACCTCACGCACGCGCAGCTCACCTGCCAGGGCCCAGCGGGCTTATTGGAGGAAATGGGGAGAGGCCGGTTCCCCCAGGAAGCCACTAACTAGCACAGCTGGCTACCTCTCCATTCCCCAGGAAGTCAGTCTGCAGGAGACAGGAGACCTGCCCAGCGGGACGTTTGCCTGCACAGGGGGTGATCCAGGCAGCCTGGCCAAGGCCGAGGGCTGCAGCCTGATCAAAACCCACCTGCAAAGGGTGGCCTGGGCAACGTCACTGACGCTGACTCCCCACAGCAGGGCTGGCAGCCGGCACTCTCGCCTTCCCGCCAGCGTCCAGGGAAGGGCCAGCGAGTGGCGGCCGTATCGCGCCAGGGTGGCAAGGGGTCACCCGTGGCGCACTGGGGCTGCACTGGGCAGGGGGCCATTTGCCTTCTGTCGTGTTCAGCCTGGACGAGGCCAACCTGGAGCGAGCCGCCAGCCGTCTGCGCCCCCAGGCCCTGCTGAGCATGAGACGCAGAACCCTGGAGAGCCCTGCCTAGACCAAAGGCTGGGGATGGGGGCGTTTCGCCAGCAACATGTTGGCTGGGCCAGGAAGTTACTCGCTTTTCCCATCCTGCGCCAGTCTCCCCAGGGCAGGGGGAAAGCAGGCGTCACCCGCGTGCCTTGGGAGAAGGCCGGGCGCGCAGATGGGAGGGGAAGATTATGAACCGTGGACCCACCCTCCTCCCCCTCCCCATATCAGAGAAATTAAACCCTGGCCCCTGGCTGGAGACACCCTGGGGGCGCGGGGAGCAGCAAGGGAGTGGCTGACGTAGGAATGGCCACAGGGGAACTTGCATTGGCGGCTCAGTGATAATCCCTAGTTGTTCTGTAGCAGCAGCTGATCTCCAAGCACGTGGGAATCATGGCCCCGAGTCCCACCCACCCTTGAACTGCACGTGTGTGTCTGCAGGGAACGGTTCCAAGATGAGCACCGATGTGCGACGCTACATCCCTGCCGTTCTGGTGGGGCTGGCGGTGTCTTCGTCCATCGTCCTCATTCTCAGCCTGGTGAGGGTCCAAAATGTTGCCTTGCCACCTACCACCAAGGTGAGTCCCTGAGCGCCAGGACACAGAGGCCAGTAGCGCTGGACGGGGCTTGGAAACGTGAGCATTTACCAAACCATTAGAAGTTACTATTTTTAGCAACAAGCACAAGTGCATGGCCGGAGCTTTGGCACCATCGCGCCGTCCCCACCTGCCTGCATATGGGAGGTGAGAATGTGAACTCAACCCCACGTGTGGTTGGGAAATACAAGAGCTCACATGCGACAGGGCAGGGTTCTTGTCACTGCTGTGGGAACGAAGGGCCCTAGTCAGCATCAGGGTGTCGTGCTGGGCACCGTGCAAACCTCGAACCCGAGACCGCTCTTTGGGCCAGCTGGGAACATCATTTCGTAACTTTCCAAATTAATTGTCTGGCCTAGCGCCCTCCCAGAGCTCGAGTCCAGCATGTTTTCAAAAGGACTTTTACACCGACATGTGTACAGTGGAGGGGCAGAAATTTACATATAGATGGAACATTATGTGCTCAGCCAGATAGCAAGTGTGAAAAATTGAGGACTTTTTATGGGGGGAGGGTACAGTTGTACATATAAGACAAAGCCTCTATATATCAGGATGGGATATCTGTTCACCCTGACATACGTTAAAATGCCTGCATCATACTCCTATGGACATGGCATGTTGTCACATAAAGGGCAGAGTTAAGGTTATGCGGGTACCCTAATTATCATAGTTTAACATGTTTCAATTTAAGTGTAACCTTAATGCTGAACTTTCCAGGTTCAATGCTTGGCTTTGGGAATACTTACATAATCCTTGTGGTGTATTTTACTCTAAATTGCACATATAAACTCTCAGAATGGTGTTTGTCTGGGAAGCTCCAGTGAGTTTTGACCCATGCTTTGAAAAGTTCCCAGAGAACAACCCCGTCCCCAGCAAAGTCCTGTAGCGTAACAGAGCCGCTGTAGATGCAAGACACAGACACAAGATTGCACAGATTTGCTTTGTGTTGTTGAAAATGGTGCATGATAGATGTGTTGGTGCAGTCCCTGAGGAAAGATGGATTGTGGAAAAGAAACCAGCTGTGGCTGGATTCTGGGCTCAGTGGCTACATCTAGACTACATGGCTCCGGTAAACCTTGTTTCACGAGGCATAAGGGAGCAGTCGACAAAGGCTTCCCTTGTCGACCGATCCGCGTCTAGACTGCCGCGCTGGGCCGGATCAGCTGATCGTCGGCACAGCGCAGCAGCCATTTTTATTTTAATGAACCAGGGATTATTTAAATCCCCACTTCTTTGACTATGCCGAGTAAACTATTTGACATGGCTCCGTCGACAGAGCCACGTAGTCTAGATGTAGCCAGCGTGTACCCATAATGCAGGGACTGACTTCCCTCGCCCCCAGACGTGTACAGCACAGAAGCTCAGACCCTCGTGGCCTGTCTGCTGGGGAGAGAGCTCACGGCTGGCCATGCAGCATCTCTCAACCACCCTGCACGTTAAACCCAAAGACAAGAAAAAGATCAATCAACCCAGAAGCAGGGCTGGGCCCCGCCCCCTGCCCACCGGGCCCCACCCACTGCCCGCCCTCGTGGGGTTAGCCACGGCACCCTAGCAAAGTCACCGTGCTCCAGGGACCTGCCGCTTTCTACTGTGCCTGCCACAGAGGCTCAGCTCGGTGGCCCGTTCAGCTAAGGAGCCTCAAATCTCCTGACCGCTAACCTGAGTGCAGGGTGACGGGGGCCCAGGCTCGGCTCTGGCTCACCTGACCCCTCTGTCCTGGCTTCTCCTTCCAGTACGGGATGGTGTTTGACGCGGGCTCGTCCCACACCTCCCTGTTCCTCTACCAGTGGGCATCGGACAAGGCGAACGACACTGGCGTGGTCAGCCAGACGTTATCCTGTGATGTCCAGGGTGGGTATTCCTGCACAGGGGCTCTGGGATGTCTTATGGCCATGCCCTGGGAATGCACCGTGGTTACAGCCAGAGTTTCTGCAGCGAGGCTGCCTGAAGTCCGGGGATTCCTGTTTCCAGCTGATCCCTGGCACCATGTGCAGCCTCTGGCCACAACAACCCAACCTGAGCTGGGCTCTGGGGGTTGGTTCGGGGCAGCCTCCACGGGGAGCTGCAGTTGTCTACAGACACAGACCGCTCCGTTCTAGAAGTGGCACTGCATGGAGAGATGCGGCCACAGCCGTGGGCCCTGGAAGCTGGGCCCTTGTGCGGCAGCTAGGAGAGATTCACGTCACCCAGCTGATTAGCAGAGCCCCATAGCTAGTCTCTGCTGGCGGTGCACATCCGCACAGGCCTTGGTGCACATACCATTATTCTGCACATGGACGGAAAGGGTTAGAGGGCACATTGGTCCACAAGCCCGTGTTTCGGGCTGATTGCGTCACTGCCAGCCTAACACAGCCTGAGCCAAAGTGCAAGGGGGCCCTGGCTCCTGGCCTGCCCGCTCCAGCACAGCTCCTGCCGCCTACGGAGGGGGGTCCGGGGCCAGGCAGAGAGGCAGCAAGCTGAGTCGCATGGCAGGACACTCACCACACTCCCATGAGGTACCCGCAGGCTGGCCGATGAGTGGGGAAGGGGCAAAGGCAGCAATTGCCCTGGGGCCCGGCAGTTCAGAAGGGCCTGGGGTTCTCTCTGCAAGGCTGTTGGCTCCCCTGGGTACCAGGCCTCGGCCCCCTCCATCCTCTCATTGTACCCTGCCCCGTCCCCGGTCGCTCTTATCAACATGCCTGTGTTCCAGGACCTGGCATCTCCAACTACGCCAGCAACCCTCCCAAAGCCGGCGAGTGCAATTGCCCTGGGGCCCGGCAGTTCAGAAGGGCCTGGGGTTCTCTCTGCAAGGCTGTTGGCTCCCCTGGGTACCAGGCCTCGGCCCCCTCCATCCTCTCATTGTACCCTGCCCCGTCCCCGGTCGCTCTTATCAACATGCCTGTGTTCCAGGACCTGGCATCTCCAACTACGCCAGCAACCCTCCCAAAGCCGGCGAGTCCCTCCGG